ATAGATGGGCACATTTACACCCTACACATTTGTTATAGAATGTGCCATTGTTCTGAGGATTGCAAAAGATCTTTTTAATAAAATGAATAAGAACTTCCAGTATTTTCTTGTTGGTACAGGTAAAAGAGTCAAATGAAAACATACAAGAGGATGAAGAAGGTACAATCGCAGACTCTGCATTTCTGAACCATGCCATAGGTAAAAATTCAAGTCTCGAGATATCTTTAATTGTGAGATGTTTTCTGTGAGGAACTTTCTTTCACACATGGTACATTCCTAGAGACCATGTCTTATGCCTCCATCAATCAGGACTGAGCTTGTTTTGCTTTATCCCTTAGACATTGGCCAATACCATTTAAAAAGTGGGTCAAAGTGATACTTACAAAGAAAATATAGGTATTTGCCAAGGAATGCAGTGAGAACTGATGAGAAATTAGTACTTTTCAGCCTAAAGGGAAAATGACACTGACTATTAATAATTTGTTTCTGGGGAGAAAATCAACCCTGAATGGATCTAATCTCTATAGTTGTTTTAAGAAGCAGCAAATACCTATTGGTTAGAAATGTGGGATGGTGCTTTCTTAAATTGAACATTTTCAAAATTGTATGTGTTTTACAGGTATAACCAAACAGAATAAGCAAATATGCCTTGCCAAAATCTTAAGCTTATTTTCTTCATCATTCCTATTTAGAGTCATAAGAATAGTTATACCTGTCTCTGAATTAAATTCCATTTGTCAAGTACAGCACCAGACAGAAAGGAACTTGAGTGCAAGAGGAATGGCTGACCTTCTGCAGCCAAAAGGTAACTACAATGGATGAGTTATGAGGGACCATGATCCTTGTCTCAGGAGATTGAAGAGGTGATGATTTTAATACCTTCAGGCTATCTTGGATGCTTGCAGAATTAGTCTTCTTCAGATTATAAAACTACCTGGGAATATGAGCATGCTGATTGTTTGCTTTTATGTGAGACACCAAGGGATAATGGAATTGCTGCTCTAAATCGTATCTAGATTTAGCAGATAGTGTTGGACGCCATTTTCCAGGACGTGACAGCCTTGCTGGTTTCTGGTGCAGTCAGTGTCCATTGCTCTCTTGCCTTTCACCGGAGTATTTTGCTGCCAACCTTTGGCATCCCATGGCTCTTCATGCCGTAATACACTTTTGGCTCAATTCCTAGCATTCCTCTACAGTCTTCTGCAGCCTATGATTTAGTTTATCTCAATGAGTCGTTGTTACTCCAGAGCTTACTGAGAGTAGCAAAGCATTATTACTCTTTTCATTTGTAATTAGGAATACAAAAATCTTAACAAACTGATGAATGAGCATAGTCTGAATGAGATTATTATTCCAAGAAGACATCTTTTATTATAGTTGACAATGTGAAATGCTGAAATTGGTATCGGTTCTGTGTACTTAGCTACTAGGCAAGTTAAATATTGTTTAACAGCCTTCAGACATGATATTAGGTGAAGCCACACTGAGTCATCATTTTTCCATAATGAGGTGTTCTTCGGCCTGTAAAATAACATTAAGGCAGAAATTCTGTTCAAGAGAACTACAGTAATCTAAATATTTTAATAGCCTAGCACTTCTTCAGATCTGTGCTGTTTGATATGATAGCCATTAGCCCCGCATGGCTATTTCAACTTAAATTAATTAAAGTGACATAACATTAAAGTTTTAGTTCCTAAGTTGTAGTAGGATCATTGTTCATTGGCCACATATTCTATGTCCTCTTCATAAACCTTTCCTTTGTTATCCTTCTGTTGAACGGTGCTTCTTTACATTACTCTACTAAAAGTAAATTTAGGTCATGTTTGTGGCAGTGAATTGGCTTGACTTTCACATCATTGAGACTTACCTCCTTAAAGTCATAGAAACTACAAAAATAAGATGCACTGGGTCTGGTGTGGTGGTACACACCTGTAAGCCTAGCACTTGGGAGGTTAAAACAGGAAGATTGTCATGAGTTCAAGGCCAGCCTGAGCTACACAGTGAGTTCAAGGCCATCCTGAACTAATAGTGAGAACTTGTCTCAAGAAAACATTCACTGGACACAAGTAAACAAACAAAACCCTGACAAACCATTACTTAACTAATAAGATCATTTAATATCCTATATTATTAAGTCTCAAAAAAAGAGGTGTTCATTAGCTCAGTAATGTCAAAAGCATTGGTTCATTTTATCTGTCTACTTAGCCATCATTGCCATGTTGTTTTTTGTCCTATGCTTGTTGCCACTAGCTGTGAATTGATTCATGCATCTCATTCCCGTGTGAAACAAAATGTATAAGGAAAAGAGTAAAATGCTCCCCAGAATTCACCATAGACTCCACCTAACATGTACTTGGTGATAAATGGATCACACAGTTGTCTGCCTGAAAAGGATGCTGGAGAAATATATTGTTGTCCAATCCCTATTGCATGAAGTAGCAGAAAGAAGAGAGTTGAGAATGTCTCCTGGCCTAGCCGGTGATTATGATTGCTTTTTAAAGTTCCTCCATTTAAGGCTGTATGCAACTAATCAAAGTCAGATGGTTATTTATCTTTATTTCACAAGAATGGCTGAGAATATGCATTTTGTACCCTAGTAATCCCATGTTCTTCAGTTTATCCAAGCAAAATATTAATCATATATGCTCACAATACTTTATAACCATAATATAATATTTTTAGTACCTGCGCCTGAGAAAACTGGGATATGTTCTTCCAGCCAAATACCAACTGATGGGCCAGGGATGTAGCTCAGTGGCACAGCACCTGCCTGGCAAGGATGAGGTGCTGAGTTCTATTCCCAGTACCAAAAAAAGAAAAAAAGTAGGTCTGGGGATTTAGCTCAGTGGTTCCACCACCTGCCTCTCAAGTGCAAGGACCTGGTCCAAAAAGAAAAAGAAAAAAGAAAAAAAGTATATCAACTGATGTCTTTGACAGAGAAGATCAAAACTATTATGAATCTAAATGTTTACATTTCTATGGGTAATCGTGCTCATTTAATCAAAATGTTATGTTAATTGTAATATATTGTTAACTATACTTATTGTTCTATATTGAAACTCAAGACTTATGAATTAAGTAAAAATAATACCACTAGGTTTTTGTCTTTAAAATTTTCCTCATAAATGTCACACTTTTGTGTGTTAATAAGCTACCAGCGAATGAGTAAACTAACATAATAGAAGTATTAATACAAATGATCACAACTTCCATATTTCTAATTTTTATTTCTTGCTATTTAACCATAATGGATTCATTCTATATATTCTATTTTCTACTAGGGTTAAATGATTAGTAGGCATCAAATACCATTGTCTAATACTGGAAACATCAGCCAATGATTAGCATGACAAAATTTCCCTAATAGAGACAGAATTTTACTTCTAGTTAAGAAGAATCCTTGGGCTGTAAGTTTCAGGCACTCAGCTGTCAGTATGTACAAATTATGGGGTGAGAAAGAAGGGACAGGATCAAGCCTACCTCACATCATGAACAGCACAAGAAGCAGCACACGAGAGGAGCACTGACTTATGGATAAAACCAAGAGAAAACTCTGCTGAGTCAGATAGAGGTGATTTGGAGTACCACGGACAAAGTCTGTCCTCTCCAAGCATATGGAACTTTCCAAGGTTTGATTTTCTACCCTCAGCTGATTTGTACTAAAGGACCACAAACATATTTTCTATATCGTTTAAGAAAGTCAAGGAAAATAAATGTGGAGAGTTGTTGGGAAATATGTAATTAATTCCAAAGACATGCTTAGTTTCTATTTTGCATAATCTGAACTTTCATAACTCTGTGTAGACAATTAACCTTGAATAACTTTTTGAGAAAGTGTATTTAACTTTGATTAATTTGCCACTGCTACATTTATAAATAAATATTTAGTTACCAACAAAGTATGTATAAGTTCAAGTAAATCTTTTATGAAATGCAACACATCTAGACTTTTCCTTCCTCTAAATTTAAACCAATAGGACAGCAGGGCATCTAGTACTGCAGCTGCCAGTCAATTAAAAGTCCTTGATAATTGTGTGTCTTATTTCAAGCATATTCCTAATTTTCCCCGCTGAGAAAATTTGAAGAAAGTTGAGAAATTTAATGTAGAGGCAGTGGCATTTCTATTTAAAATAGAATTAAATCATATCCCAGAAATTTGCCTAGACTATTCACAGCTTTTTGAGTAGAAAACTGTTTGAGTCAAATGTCACAGTTTGAATACTCCACTGACATACTCAGGCCTAATTGTGGGTCATGTGAGCTGTTGAAGATAAGCGTAAAATGTAGGTGGAAAATACCAATGTGCTCTGTACAATCTAAGTTTGTAAGGTTTGAAAGACTGGCAGCATCCTGAAAACTACTTAGACAATAGCGCTGGGGGTTAGGAATAGGATGGTGTGTTTTTTATGATTCAGATCCCAAATTAATATGTCCCAGGATAATTTCTCTTTTACATTTTTCTAAACATACAGAATGACACCTAAGAGGTACTGTAGTATGCTTTGGGCAAGGCCATTTCCACTGTGCACCGACTTGCCCATTTATAACCGACTACTCATGACAAACTCCAAAGGGACGGCTTTGCATCTTGTTTTCACTCTGAATTGTAAATTCCTGACATTAGCCCCGTGGAAATAGGACCATATGGTTCCCCTTTACCAACGCCTGGAAATAATAATATTACTCTCCATTCACTAAGTATCCCCATGTACTTTCCTCCTCCTTTCTCGTTCTTTTGGTGCCAATTCTTTTGGTTAATCATCTGTCCACTTGCTACTGTGTTTTCTTCTTCCTGTCAGAGGTACTCACTATGTAAGGCTTTGATGGATATGACTGTATGTCTGTGACTCCTTCCTCTGTTTTTTCACTAGGTAGAGAATTATAGACTTAATGGTGTTAAAGGCATGGCTTTGTTCCTCCTATAAAATATTGACCTCTATAGATTGCACCAGAATTTAAATTCAATTTTGTTCAGTAGACTTCTACAAACCATAGCCTGTGTCAAATACTGAGGATACTAAAGTAAATAAGACATACATAGTATCTGCCCTCTAGACATCAACCTATTAGGAAGATAGAGAAGCAAACAGATAATTTGATACAGTGTAACCACTGGTAAGATAGAGATATTTTATATGCATACATATAAAAGACCAAGGTGCAGAGCCCAGCTTTGGTACAGCCAGAAGCATTGATGA